CGAACTCTATATAAGCCACCCCCCTCCTCAGTATGAAGGGTTCGCACCTTTGTTATTCACACGCCAGTAATCCAATCGACCGCCTCCGGGCACCGAGACGTAGGGCTGTTACTTCCTCCGCGAAGGGCCTGAACTCGTACATCGTGATGTGTTTACAACTTGCCAATAGCTGAGATCTAGCCTCTCCATACATACCCCCCTACATCACTGTCAGAGTTTGAACCATGACACCGGAACCCCCCAGGGAGAAGTAATGGGCCATATGGGCCTTAGTGGAGAGAGAGAGGGGCTGCCAGAGGTGGGCCGCGCGCCTCCTCCCCCCTGGTCCGAATTGTACTAGGAGAGGGGGGGTGGCACCCCCCTTTCCCTCTCCCTCCCCACTTCTTTCCCCCTCCTAGTAGGAGTCCTACTCCTACTAGGAGGAGGACTCCTCCTTGGCGCGCCTATAGGACCGGCCGGCCTCCTCCCCTTGCTCCTTTATATACGGGGGCAGGGGGCACCCCTACACACACAAGTTGATCCACGTGATCATATTCTTCACCGTGTGCGGTGCCCCCTTCCACCATAATCCTCGATAATATTGTAGCGGTGCTTAGGCGAAGCCCTGCGACGGTAGTACATCAAGATCATCACCACGCCGTCGTGCTGACGGAACTCTTCCCCGACACTTTGCTGGATCGGAGTCCGGGGATCGTCATCGAGCTGAACGTGTGCTAGAACTCGGAGGTGCCGTAGTTTCGGTGCTTGATCGGTCGGGCCGTGGAGACATACGACTACATCAACCAAACGCTTCCGTTGCGATCTACAAGGGTACGTAGATCACACTCTCCCCCTCTTGTTGCTATGCATCACCATGATCTTGCGTGTGCGTAGGAATTTTTTTGAAATTACTACGTTCCCCAACAGCTTGGCCCTAGGCGCCCACTCCTCTCCATCGCCGTCGGCGTCGGTGGAGCAGTCCGGAGGAAGGGTTTTCCCCTTCTTGGACCCTTCGGCCTCCCCAGTTGGGGTGGCCTTCCTTTTCTTCCCTTCCCCCGCTGGAGGGGGAGGGGTCTCTTGTTCCTCCTCCTCGTCTTCGCGGGAGGAGTGCGTCTTGGATTCATCGGATGATGAATCCGACACCTCCGAGCGTCGGGCACTCTTTCGAGTCCCCGTGGCCTTCTTCTTGACCTTCTTCTCCGGCACCACATAGGGTGCCGGAACCAGCAGCTTCGCCAAGCGAGCATCCGCTGGGCCTTCGGGCAAAGGAGCCGGACAGTTGATCTGTCCGGAGGTCACCTGCCAATCCTGTCAAAGGTAGGGGAGTTTAGATCCCGCATGGAGTCAAACTATGAAAAACTGATACCCTGTAAAAGGAAAAAATAGCTTACCACGAGAGCGTGACGCTGCGCACTGAATCCGCGATCCTCAGTAGCGGATGCGGGAGCCTCGGCGCCCTTGAAAAGCACCTTCCAGGCATCTTCGTACGTCGTGTCAAAGAGTCTGCTCAGAGTTTGGTGCCACGCCGGGTCGAACTCCCACAGGTTGAAAGCCCGTTGTTGGCACGGGAGGATCAAGCGGATGAGCATAACCTGGACTACGTTGACAAGTTTGAGCTTCTTGTCCACCAGGGTTTTGACGCATGTTTGGAGTCCGGTTAGCTCTCCTTTTTTACCCCACGACAGGCCCGTCTCTTTCCAGGACGTGAGCCACGTTGGGGGTCCAGACCGGAACTCGGGGGGTGCGACCCATTCGGCGTCGCGCGGCTCGGTGATGTAAAACCACCCCGATTGCCACCCCTTCAGGGTCTCCACAAAGGAGCCCTCGAGCCAGAGGACGTTGGCCATCTTGCCCACCATGGCGCCTCCGCACTTTGCCTGGCTGCCGCGCACCACCTTCGGCTTGACGTTGAAAGTCTTGAGCCAGAGCCCGAAATGGGGGCGGATGCGGAGGAAGGCCTCGCACACGACGATAAACGTCGAGATGTTGAGGACGAAGTTCGGGGCCAGATCGTGGAAATCCAGGCCGTAGTAGAACATGAGCCCCCGGACAAATGGGTGGAGAGGGAAGCCCAGTCCGCGGAGGAAATGGGGGAGGAACACCACCCTCTCATGGGGCCTAGGGGTGGGGATGAGCTGCCCCTTTTCGGGGAGCCGGTACGTGATGTCGTTAGACAGGTATCCGGCCTTCCTCGGCTTTTTGATATGTCCCTCTGTGACGGAGGAGACCATCCACTTGCCTCCAGCTCCGGACATGGATGGAGAAGGTTGAGGTTGGGAGTGCGGACTTGGGCGCTGGAGCTCGAGTGCGCAAGAATGGATAGGCGAAGGAGGAAGAAGGCGTAGGTGAAAAGGTGGATCTTTATCCCCTTATATGGGTGGACGCAGCTACATGTCCCCACCAGCCTGATAAAACTCGCTTATCTCCAAGCGCCGTAATCGATGGCGCGATTGGGTTACCCACGACCGTATTGATGAGAATCCCGGAATAAGGGGACATGATCTATGCTTTAACAAGACGTGCCAAGGAAACCGCCTCGCATAACGCGCTGAGATGGGACAGTAAAACGGTTCGAATGAAAGCTTGGCCGTGGTGTGATGTCACACTACGGAATACGTCAGCAGATTAGATTTGTGTAAATATTATTCTCTCTATGGCAATATGTGGAAACTTATTTTTTAGAGCCGGACACTATCTTTCTGTTCAAAATCTTCTATGAAGTACTTAGAGGAGGAACCCGCCTTGCAATGCCGAAGACAATATGTGCGCCAGACTCGTCGTCATTGAAGCCTGGTTCAGGGGCTATTGAGGGAGTCCTGGATTAGGGGGTGTCCGGATGGCCGGACTATACCTTCAGCCGGACTCCTGAACTATGAAGATACAAGATTGAAGACTTCGTCCCGTGTCTGGAAGGGACTTTCCTTGGTGTGGAAGGCAAGCTTGGCGATACGGGTATGCAGATCTCCTACCATTGTAACCGACTCTATGTAACCCTAACCCTACCCGGTGTCTATATAAACCGGAGGGTTTTAGTCCGTAGGACAACATACACATCAACAATCATACCATAGGCTAGCTTCTAGGGTTTAGCCTCCTCGATCTCGTGGTAGATCTACTCTTGTACTACCCATATCATCAATATTAATCAAGCAGGACGTAGGGTTTTACCTCCATCGAGAGGGCCCGAACCTGGGTAAAACTTCGTGTCCCTTGTCTCCTGTTACCATCCGGCCTAGACGCATAGTTCGGGACCCCCTACCCGAGATCCGCCGGTTTTGACACCGACATATTCTTGCAAAAAAGTAAAGATATGGTGTTTGATAACATAGTAGGTCGAGCAAAGTGTAGAGGGAGCAATGAAGCACCATGGTGTCGGTTATGAGCATCTTGCTAATGTGTGAGTACAATACAGTATTCATGTGTGGACTGACAAAGCGTAACCCTAAATACCCCTAGTGCCTATATAAGTCAGAGGGTTTAGTCCGTAGAGGGACATTCATACATTCATCATCATACCTCTAGGGTTTAGACCACAACTCACGATCTCGTGGTAGATCACCTCTGTACTTTGATACTCTCATAATATAAGCAAGAGTAGAACATAGAGTTTTACCTCCATAGAGAGGGCCCGAACCTGGGTAAACGACTGTGTGTTCTTCCTCTTGCTACCCATCTATCCGGACTAACAGCTTGGCCCCCCTACCTGAGATCTTCCGGTTTTGACACTGACATTGATGCCTCAGACTAACATAATCCTCTATAATCTATCCCTCTGGTGATTACCATAACCACCATCATGACACTTCGATTTCACATTCACTAAGTTTTGAAGATCTGAAACATCTACCATGTAAATGAGCTAATTGAACTGGCAACATCGCAGACCCAGCAACTTTTGTGCTGGAGCATGAAGACTGAAGAAGAGCACTTGGGAGGAGCGTTCCTATAAAACCCTCGGTTACAATATTGCACTAAATCATCATTGCCAATAGCAACTGTGAGCATAATAGCATCTAGTGTCAGTATCAGCAACTGAATTAATTAGCTACTGACTAGACGAATGGGCGAATTAGGCAAGCTAATTCTTCAGAAAGCCTCCAAATCAAGATCAAACTCAAACTCATCCTTGCCGTTTGATTCTCCGGAGAGCCAGAGCTGCTTCCTGATCACAAAGCAGTTCCTTGTCATCTGGAGTTGCAGCATTGAGCGCTACCGGTCTGTAGCTTGCTCCACAGGCAGATCATGTGCTGCGGGGACTGGTAATGCGCGGTGTAGTAGAATGCGGACTGGTAGGAACTTGAAGTCGCACGAGTGCTCCACCGGCTTGCGAGTCCTGCTGAACTTGTGAACCCTCATGCCCATGCTCACATCGTCAGGCTTGCTATCTACTCTCTCCACTAGGACCAAAATGCACTTGGTTAGGGTCTGCCCTGAAGTTGCTTTGTCTTTAGCTTTTGATGATTGTAATGATCTTGTGATTGAGTAATACAAGTTTTCACCCGCAAAAAAAAAGATTATGCATGACGGGAACAATGGAGTATACACCGAACATTTCCTTAAATGGTTTTTTTTTGCATTACAATGTACACAAAGATGTTACCTCGAATCCAGAATTATTTTCATTAAGAGAACCCACACCTGCTCATCTAAGTTCCACATTCAAGCTGTCGAGATAATGGATTCTCAAAAAAAAAAACTCTAGAGGTAAGGATATACTTCCTCCGTCCCATAATATAAAAATATTTTTGACACTAGTGTAGTGTTAAAAACGTTCTTATATTTTGGGACAGAGGGAGTAACTTTATCGGTAAGAGAAAATCTACCATGGCATGGAACTGTTTTGATAAATAAAATGAAAAAAAAAGGTCACCGAACAATGCTGCTTCCATTCTCTTTTTTTTTTCTTTGAAGGAAGCCCAAGCTGGATCCTGGATATACCGAACGCTCCGTAGAGTTCGTACTCCACTCTTCCCCATCCAAACCCTCGCCTCCGCCGCACACTACCGCCGGCGGCGGCGCTGATGGACGAGCTCCTAGAGGATCCGGTTTCCCGCCTTTTGCCGGAGCTCGTCGAGGAGGTGTTTTTCCGCATTCCGCCGGACGAGCCCGCCTTCCTCGTCCGTGCCTCCGCCGTCTGCAAGCCCTGGCGCCGCATCCTCGCCGGTTTGGGCTTTCGCCGCCGCTACCGCAAGTTCCACGGAACACCTCCCGTCCTGGGGCTCTTCCAACACGGCGACTGCCTACTTCGAAAGGGATCCCGCTTCGTTCCCACCTCCGCCCTCTTCCTTGCCCAGCCCGACGACCGTCCCGATTGGTTTGCAATGGACTGCCGCCATGGGCGCGCCCTCTTTGCTCACATCCGGAACACCTCTGTCCTCGTGGTCTTGGACCCTGTGACGGGCCACCAGCGCCGCGTGCCCTCGACACCCAAGTACCTGCTCAGCTTCAGTGCGGCGGTGCTCTGCGCCGCACAAGGCTGCGACCACCACGGTTGCCAAGGAGGGCATTTCCGTCTGGCCGTCGTGACCACCGATCAGCGGCAAGGCGTCACATCGGGCTGGCTGTACTCGTCGGAGACTCGCGTGTGGAGCGAGCTCACCTCCGTTCACCACCCCAATGCCAGGTATACCAATAACTTTGGTGCGCCCAGCGTCCTTTTGGGCGATGCACTCTACTTCAACATTGGTGGCATCGTGGAGTGCCAACTTGGCACACTCCGCTTGTCAATGTTCGAGAAGCCGATCAATCGCGGTGGGCGTCTCATGACGGTGGAAGAGGGCAGGCTGGGATTCGCTGCCGTGGTTGATGTCACAAATCTAACCCTATGGTCGTGGGAGACCGGACCCGTGGGAGCCATTGGATGGGCAAAACTCAGGGTAATTGATCTCAAGACGCTGCTCCCAACATGTGAGTTTGGGCTTAGGAGGTGGGCAAATGCATTGGTGGTCAGTGGCGTCGCGGAGGGCACCCAAGTCATTTTTGTGAGAGCACGTGTTGGTTCTTATATGGTTCATCTCAAGTCAGGGCGAGTCAAGCCGGTGTGTGCTTCTTCTGACATAAAAATATTTCCCTACGTGAGCTTCTACATCCCAGGTACTATTATTTATGTGCATATACATAATGCTGTACAATTCCTTGTTACAATGTTTCATTGGCACTTAGCAACATGGAATGAAAATATGTTTCTTAGCAAGTAAACTTTAGACATGACGACATGCATCTGTGCTCAAGAAAGAGAGATGTTCCTCTGGATTACAGGAACATATATGTTCTCTTAAACGTCTGGATTTACCGTGTGTGTGTGTGTGTGTG